TCGATAGCGCGGATGTCTGGTCGTACCGATTCTAGTGTCGCAAGCGTACGGCGCTCTGCTTCGATTTCTCGCACGACGTATTCGCGGATCGCTTGCCTCATGTCTTGTGTGGTCCTGTTGAACCATTTGCGTTGCTCTTGTAGGAGGTTGGCTGTGACGCGCTGAGCTTTCGTTGTGAGGTATTGTTCGTGGCTTCTCGCTTCGTCTAAGGCTGCGATAGCTTCGTCGACCTTGTCCCGCTTAACGCTCGAGCTGGCTTTGAGCCTATCGGCTGCGGACAGCTTGGACTTTGTCGCGGATTGTGCTTGTAGGAGCTCGCGAAGGAGGATGTGTCGGTTTGTGAGGGTTTCTTTCGCAATAAAGGCGTCGCTGCTGTGGTATTGGAGAGGGTCGCCGAGAGTTGTAGCTTCGGCAGTACCCTGCGCTGCGTGAAAGTCGCCCGTGGCCTGGATGACCTTCCCGAGCTTCTTGTATGCGTGTGAGAGACCGACGTGTGTTTCTTGGACATGTAGCGCTGCGAACTTGGCACCGAGGTCGGACTCTGCGACGCCCAGATCTAGATTATGTTAGCCATGGACTGAAAGGTCTGCCTAGGAAGCGCCTACTTCTCCTGTGCTTCACGACTTTCTCTAACTTCTGCTCCGCCTCCATTGTGCCTAGGTAAAAGGCCTTGACGACTGGTCGTGCCGCAGCAAGTTCCGGTGTATCGTCTGGTGGCGGCGCAAACTGCTTGATCATCTTGCGGCGCACGCCAGTCGCAGGCTGTTTCCTCCGCACCACAGGGCTGTATCCAAAGTCGCTCTCCACGAAGAAGACCATCTCTTCATCGCGTATCAGGATGTCATTGCTGCATACAATGTTCAGCCACCGTTGTAGCGAAGTCTTCAGGCGTGCCTCGTCTTCGTCGGTGCCTGCGCCTGCCGAAGTAGTCGCGGGCGGTACTGCAGGCACAATAGCTTCGGGGCATGCTGAGATGAGATGCTCGCCCAGCTTTACAAACTCGGAATGCAGGCGTCGGACATCGCGGAATTGAGTGGTGCGGAACTTGGGGAGGTTCGTCTGGAGAGAGGTCAGTAGGAGTGGAAAATGGGGGCCAGGCGTGCGCGGTATGGGCAGGATTGGTGCAGCTATGCAGTCCGACTGAGATGCCGGAGAAGCACATGACTACCTTGCACCACGCCTCAATGTCCGCTATGTCGCGCGCCTCTAGCCCGGTCGTGTCGATGTTGTGGAGACGTACGTAGACATCAAATCGCAGTATCGGGTCCTTCTTGCTATTCCGCTCGAGTCCCGTGACCTTGGCCTGGAGCTTGTAGTGTTGCTGTTGCCGCTGCGGCCTGTTGCCGTGGTATCGCTGCGGCTGCTGCTGGCCCTGCTGCGCATTGGGTGACCGCGGCGCATCTTGGCCCGGCATCTGTGGTTGCTGCAGATGGTCGCCGTTCTCTGGCGCCGTGCCGGGCCGGCTTTGCGCATCTTGGTCGCCCATGTAGCCGTACTGCTCACCACCTTCGTGGTACGGGGAAGCCTGCGGAGGCAGCGGGGATGAGGGGATGTCGTTCGTCGGCGGCTGGCCAAACGACGTTCGGTTGGCCTGGGGCGACGATGCCCATGGGTCGCGGCCGCCGGGATGGTCCGGGTCGTGGGCGCTGTAGTCCATGGTGTGTGGTGGGGAATTGAAGCTCTGGACAGCTGCACCGAGCTGTCGAGTGATGCGATGATGTCGCTCGAATGCCCTGACCTGCCCTGGAATTAGCCGAGCTAGGCAAGGCGCGAACGTCGACATCCTTCACATCACGTGCGACTGCCAAACAGTCAAACGCTGTCAGTTCGCCCATCTATCGCACTGAGCAGTACTGGGCATGAGGGTCGGATGGGTTACGTCTACCCGTCGAGTCTTGCGACACCATGTGAAGACTCCACGGCGCTTGCTGTCGACGCAACCACACCATGATCTGCTTTCCAAGGCCACCCGCAACATTGGCATCATCGCCCACATCGATGCAGTAAGTGCCGTCTTCTGTTAGTTAGATTTGTTCTGACGATTCGGTAGGGGAAAACCACGACGACGGAGCGTATGCTCTACTATAGCGGAGTGACAAGGCGAATAGGAAGTACGTACCCGTTGTAACACTTTAAACGCTATGCTTTCTTTTCGTTTTCAATTGCTTTTAGTCGAGAGACATGCACTATCCCTTATTTGTCTCTATTCCTATTCCTTTTCTAGACGTTTTAGAATTCTGACCAAGTGCTTCGCCTGTGTCGACCACTCCCTCACTCAAACCTGGCCATTGCCATTTGGGTGGATCATACATAGATTTCAGGAGCCATATGTGGATTGTATCTAACATCCCACAGATGTCGACGAAGGCTCGACAGTAACCGACTTTCTCCCCGCTGAGCGAGCACGCGGCATCACCATCCAGTCCGCAGCCATCACATTCCACTGGCCTCCCGTACCACCAAGCACTCAGACTCCGCCACCGCCACCACAGCTACCAGCCTCATTCGACAATGTTCTAAGATCTTCAACATCTCACAACATCAATCTCATCGACACGCCCGGTCACGCAGACTTTACTTTCGAAGTGCTACGTTCGCTTCGTGTCCTAGACGGTGCTGTATGTATCCTCGATGGAGTTGCCGGTGTTGAAGCCCAAACGGAGAAAGTGTGGACGCAAGCTGGACATTACCATATCCCTAGGATCATTTTTGTTAACAAGCTGGACCGTGTGGGCGCCGCGTTCTCACGAACCGTCAAAGAGATAGGCGTTAGATTGCACGGATGGCCAGCCGTCTGTCAAATCCCGTGGTGGAAGAATGGCAACGGCGACTTCGTTGGAGTCGGTGATGCTATCAACTTACGCGGTATGCTCTGGCAAGCCGGTGGCGATGGCAGAGATATTCAAGCTTTTGGGCTGCAAGATCTGAGTAAAACCGACGAGAAGTTTGCAGAAGAGATCAAGAAGGCGAGGATAGCCCTCGTTGAAATCTTGAGTGAGCATGACGACGTCATGGTCGAGCACTTCCTGGAACACGATGAAGACCACCTTGCTATCTCTGGACTCCAGATCATGCAGTCATTACGCCGGGTCGTACTACAGGCACCGCAGAAAGTCATACCAGTCTTCGCCGGCGCCTCTTTCCGCAACATCGGCGTTCAACCGCTGCTCGACTCGGTCGTTGATCTCCTCCCCTCACCACTCGAACGACCAGATCCTGAGATCAGCATCTCCAACCAAAGCAGCACACTATCATCCCTTCTCAGTGCCGCAGCAGCAGCGCCAACGAAGACTACCAAGCCATCAAAGAAACAGCAGCAAAACAACGGCGAACTAGCCATCGCAGAAGTCAAAAACCTCAGCGCCTGCGCCCTCGCCTTCAAAGTCGTCAACGACGCCAAACGCGGCGTCCTCGTCTACGTCCGCGTCTACTCCGGCTCCATCGACCGCGGCGCCACCCTCTACAACACCAACCTCTCCCTCGCCGAACGCGCACCCCGCCTGCTCAAAATGTACGCCAACGACGCCGTAGAAGTCGACAGCATCTCCGCCGGCCAAATCGGCGTGATAACCGGGCTCAAGCACGCAAGAACCGGAGACACGTTGATCGTCTACCGCGGCCTCCAAATGAAAGGCACACCCCCAGGTGGTCTTCACACGCTGCAACTCCGCCCCATCGCCGTCCCTCCCCCCGTCTTCTTCACCAGCATCGAACCGAACAGTCTCAGCGAACAGAAACACGTCCAAGAGAGCCTGGCTATCCTCCTCCGCGAAGACCCCAGTCTGCATCTCTCCATCGACGAAGAATCCGGGCAGACTCATTTGGCCGGCATGGGCGACTTGCATTTAGAAATCGCACGAGACAGATTGCTCAACGATTTCAAAGCCAAAGCACGCATCGGAAAGATAGAAATCGGATACAGGGAGACAATCACTACGATGACGCCAACGGAGCCATACACATATACACTAGATAAACTCGTTGCGGGGAAACAGACGAAAGCAGCTATAACCGCTTCTGTGGAAAGCGTAGAAGACAACAGTGTGATCCCGCTTTCCCCCGTCCAGCACCAAATCGACGAACGACACTTACGCGAAAACCCATTCGAAACCACATACCCCCTCCCCGACAACAACCACCTCCACATCCACCACCCCCCGCTCTCAAACCTCGACTCTTCGGCTCATAAACAACACATCCCCCCACACCTCTCCCTCCCCGGTATCCTGCACGCCCTTCAAGCCGGTACATCCGCCGCGCTAGCCCGCGGCCCTTTCAACGGCTTTCCCGTAGCAAACACACGCGTTAGCCTCACACTGGATGCGAGTGCGCATCTTTTCCCCGAAACAACGTCCACGGCGCTTTCCATGGCGGCGCGCGCGGCTGTAGGAGCGGGTTTGAGGCAGGCGAGTGGGGCGCAGCCCGCTACGCTTATGGAACCGGTTATGAACGTGACAATCTTCGTCAACGAAGGTAGTATGGGAGCCGTAGTACAAGATATTACCTCCTCACGCGGCGGACAAATCTTATCGCTTGATGGATCCGACTCTTCATCCGTATCTTCATCTTCCTCGTCATCTTCCGACGACGCCCTCCCACGCATCGACCCGCACCTGATCTACACGCCCCCCGACCCCTTTGCGTCAGGGACGGGTGATATGGGGAGCGGCTTGAGCGATAGCCAGAGACAGATTGTAGCTAGGGTGCCGCTGAAGGAGATGGTGGGGTATTTGAATCAGTTGAGAGCGCTGACGGGCGGGCGGGGCACGTTTGTGATGAGTGTGGATGGGTTTGAGAAGATGGGAAGCCAGAGGCAGAGGGACGTTTTGGATGCGTTGAGGGATTTTTAGAGATCTAGAGGGAAAAAGAGAGGGGGTGTATGAGTAGATGAAGTAGTGTATATGTATTTCAAACCATCTCAATGCAATATGCGCAATATGCTTTAAATCTATCCAGTTTCGCCACCCACGGCCATGCTTCCCCTGTATATGATACTACACTCACGCCGTAAGTGCACTACTCAACCCCAGTATCCCCATTCCCGCAAACGCACTAACAAAGCACAAGCGTCTCGAATTCGTCAAATCCAGACTCTCGCCCAGCAGCTGCAAGCTCACCATCGCCATAATCCCCGCAGTAACTGCAAACATGCATCCGTAAATAGTATCCATGCCCTCATCAGCGCCGTGCTCCCGACCCCTACCCTGAATCTTGAACCACAGCGCTGCGACACCAGCACCGAGTGGCTGACTGACGCCACCTAGGACGGCAGAGATGAGCATGGCTTTCCAGCGGGAGCCGATGGCGAGGTAGAGGGGGAGAGCGAGAGCGAAACCTTCGGTGATGTTGTGGATGAAGAGGGCGAGGAAGATGGAGAAGCCGAGGGTAGGGTTGGCGTGGTTGGTGGCGTATGTGATGAAGCCTTCGGGGATTTTGTGCAGGGCGATTGCTGTGCTTGTTTGGAGGCCGAGGGAGAGGAAGGCATTTGTTGGGACGTGGTGGTGGTGTTGTTGGGCCTCCTGGTCATGTTCGTCGTGGCTGTGGCCATGATGGTGGTGGTGGTCAGTGTGCGATGAGGTAGTCGAGGATGAGCGGCTGTGCTTTTGGAGGGGTTGGATATCGTGTGCTGCGTGGCCATTGGTAGACGGTAAACTTGCAAAAGAGCTTTCCATGGTGGCTGGTCCGGACTTTGTAGGTACCAGAGGTGTTGTTTCGTTCACATCCTCCAACGCTGTTCGTCGATCATGCGGTCCCTGCGAAGTTTGGCTTCTGCTCATCCCAGATGGTCGTGTAATACTCAAGCTGCCTAGGGACTTCCGTGACTGTAAGCGTGAAGGCCGTACTTCACACAGATCACCATAACATTGCCCGTTGTCAGTATCGTCACATGCTTTTTCGGCACCCACAATTAGTTGCGAGACTTTGGATGACAGCGTCTTGTGAAGCGATGGTCTCTGAGGTAGGGCGGCTTTCGAGTTCACGCTACTAGTCCCGTACGAAGTATGCTCCTCATGTCCGTGGGCGTGCGGAAGACTGAGCGGCTGCTCTTGCATCGGTTGGTGAGAGTGCGATTCCTCTTCTTGAAACTTCCCCTGCTCTTCATCATCGTGTTTGCTTTCGCAGTCGACAACTGAGTGCGGAATGTACTGGTGCAGTATTCCGGAAAGGACTGAGATGCCAAGAGCACCAACAAGGAAGCACCCGATCAAAGTCAGTATCGCATTGCGCGGTGACATGCCTCCCTTTTTCAGATAATTCTTCGCCGACGGAAGCATGCTGTATAGTGATGAGAATATCTTGAAGTTGAGTCAGCAAGAGTCAAACGAAGCCCAGCAGCTCCACTCACCATAACACCAAAGGAAAGACTCAGACCCGTCGACAAGAACGCATTACTCTCTTCAATCTTGAAGTTCCTCTTGCCAGGAAAATATCGCACAATAAGGTCGACGCATATTATCGAAGCTAGCCATCTTTAGCATCTGCCCTGACTGAAGTTCTCAGAATCCCGGTCGATGGGATCAACCGCGGGAATAAATCTCACCTCCAAATGTACATGCTGTTTACGCGTTAGCTCATCTGCTTCCCCGTGAAATCCATGCAGCTTCCCGCGCGCAATCGTCAATCCATACCTATGCCGCTGACCGCAGTCATGATCCACCCACGCGTATCGTTATCGAGAACCATGGTGCCTGGCCTGCAGGTACACACTTTGGGAAATGACGTCGTTATGCCAAGCTCCTTGTCGCTTTCACGGGTAGGGGATAGTACGCGGAAATGCAAAGGCGATCAGATTGTTCTAGAGAGCGGGCGGCAGGCGGATAAGAGATGATGAAGTTTGTATGTACAAGAGGGTCCTGGTCAGATGAGGCGTCTTCTTCGCACCGTGTTGGCCTCCTAGCGCGTCGAGGACAGTCAAGGAAAAATCGGGTTTAGCGGCTTGGCGATCGTGTGATACTCGCGCGTCGTCATTGGCTGCAGCGAACGAGGCCGGGGTATCGTGTTTCGCCTCACGTTGGATGACAGCTACAAATGGACGTAAAGGGGACTGAAGGATGCCGTTTGAGGCTCTCAGAAGGACTCTCAAGGGACACGAAGAGGGTCCTGGATATATGGGAGAAAGTGCATGAGCGGCAGACACACTAGTGCCCAACAAGGAGGCGGTGTATGAGATCAGACACGTGAAGTATGACATCTGACTTTGTGTGGCTGACAATCATGAGGCTACTGTGACTGTGACTTTGAAATTACGACTAGATGAGAGAAGAGAACAAGCCTCCACCTTGTCGATGAACACGCATTAAAGTGTTAGACCCAAAGTACTCCTAAGCATCCTTGACCAGCCCGCACTGTGCGGTCAAGGACGTTGCTCCCTATCCGAAGCATGTTGGTGACCGTAAAGGTAAAATTCTAGAAAGCTCGGTGAGCTGCCAACGCCGTGTTTCCCATCCATCCCGCTATGCATAACAAAGGAAAGTTTTGAAGTACTAAATGAAGGCCGTGAGAAAGAAGTCGTCGTCGATGGTCGTGTCTCGAGCGATCAAGACTGGGGAGGCCTCGGAATTTGGATCTTGCTCCACGAACCAGGGCCGTGTTCAGGCTTCTCGTTGATAACAAGGAGATTGGGCGATGAGCAATAACCGCCTGGCTCTGCTCTCCGCTCCTGCTCAACGTAGTGGCCTGCACGATCGGCTTCTGTCGCGTTTTGTGCGAAAGCTGCAGCTGGGTGGTCGTAAATCCAGACTTTGTCCGTCACAAGCTGCCCTGGCTCCTCAGCGAACCGGGCTTTCTTATCAGGGAAGCCGACGAAGTAGTTGAGGATGTCGTGAATCGGAGCGTAAAGACGTTCCGGGCGACGAATGAAAGAGAGCCAGCTCAGCGTCTTCTCGTCGTACGCTACTCGAACAAATGGGTTCATGTATATCCTGGATTCCGCAGGTCGGCCTCTTCCAGACATCCGATACTGCAGATCTGCGTGGATTAGACAGCACTCGGAGGCCTCCCAGAAAGTTTCGTTGTCGTGACGGAAGCGGAGCGGGAAGATGCTGTGGTTAGGCGTCCCATTCTGCGGGTTGGCGGGTTCGGGCTGGACTCCGGTCTCTGACTGGAACCATTTGGCGTCAAAAGCCACCATGCCGCCCCAGCAACTCCGTACCCGTACCGCATCTTTCCCTGCAAGCACATCACTTCTGCTGGTCCCTGTTCCCGCGCTGGTGAACCACGGGAAGAAGGGCAGCCCGGTGATCATGCCGTCGAAATCGCGCGTCGCGAAGCGGTCGTAGAACTTGAAGGGCATGATGTGGTCGACAGCGCATGCTGCAGCGTAGTCTGCCCGTCCGGTCGAGTCGATGTTGGTCGCGAAAAGGAGCTGCGCAGCTTCAACGGGGTCGAAGTTGATATCGTTCAGGTACAGGACCTTGTCGAATCTGACCCCAGGCTGGTCGATGGGCGCAAGGGCTCGGTTGCGCACCTCAGCAAGGAATGCAATGCGCTTGAGGCGTTTGTCGCCGTTGGGTAGCGTAATGTGGGGGAGGGAAGCGAGGTCGAGATCTTCGGATACAATGGTCGAGTTGCCTGGGGTTGTTAGCGATCTTTGCACGGCGGCACGAGGCGAAGCGTCTCACATTTGACCTGGTCGCGGAACGAATCCAAGGACTGCTTCGTCACCAAATCTGGGTTATCCTCATATATGCTCAGATGGACATTCTCCGGTCCCAGCAATTCCACGAGCTGCAGCACCTCTCTACCCCAAGCGCCAGACGTCAAGTCGCCCTTCTTTTCGGCGAGCGAGGCGGCTATGAAGACCTTCTCGTTGTAGGGGTTCGCGCGTCCAGTGTCCGTGGCTCGCTTGCGTAGCTCGTCGTAGTGTGGAGGCCTGACTGTGTAACTCGGGAAGAAGATGCCGGCAACTAGCACTAGGACGATCAAGAGGTACGGTACGGAGAATAACGTCCAGTACAGGATGCGTAGAATGGAGCGCTTTCGGCGGCGCGGGGTGACGTAGTGGGCGTATACGGCGCGATCCGAGAGCTTGTTGACTGCATTAAAGCGACTGCTCAGCCGGTTGAGCCAGGAGCGCCGTGGATTTGAACACTGTTCATCTTGGCCGACAACAGCTTCCTCGCCATCAACATCGAAGGACTCGCGCGGAACCAGCTCATACTCGTGTATGGGCCGGCGGGAGGGTTTAAGCATCGGAGAGTCTTGGGGGTCGAAAGGGGCCTAGTTAACTCAGGTCCGCGGGCGCCATCAAGCGATGATCGGGCGCAGGGCTGCAGTGGAGGCGTTTTGTAGCGTTGACTACAACCACAGCGGGCGTGAGTGTTTGTATATCGGAATGGGAAGCGGCGGGAAGTAGTGAGTGACAGCAGTTGGCACAACGCAGCGAGGTTCCGCTTCTTGGGGACGCGCAATTCACACGGACTCGCGACTGTTTGGTTGGGGTCACCCATCGCACAGGGTCCAGCTCCCTGACGACAGCCCTGGAGTGGAGCTTGCCTTTTCCAGCCGCCAGCACCAACTCTAATCACGACTCAGTCCTGGATAGCCGTTTCGAGCGCCCGACCCTCGCTGCTCTGACCAGAGGCTAACCCTCCGCGCTGCGAACTGCCCACATCACAGTCGCACCACGCCCCCAGAGCAGAGCATGTCGCGAGCCCTCCCACTTGCAACCCTCCTCGGCCACCGAGACTGCTGCATCATCATCAACATCATCAACAAACCTTAGCCCATCCTGGCGGCTGGGCCTTCTCTCGGTGATTAGTACCGTCATCAGAATCTGCACATGGGTGGCTTGGCCAGATGCTCGGCCTCTTGGTCTTCGGTCATTTGGACGTCGATGCCACAAGCGAAGATCCATCTCCCGGAATCGCGCGGAGCTTTCCGTCGTACGACGCTTGTAGCAGGCGCGTACCTGGCAGCGTATCGATATACGAACGCGTGTATACATTTGCACTGCCTTACACTACTCCACAGTCCTCAAACAACTGGCGCATGCCGTTGCGCAGACGCGTTATGCCTCACAGCCCATACTACCGTGATTGCTAAAGCTTACACAGCATACTCGTCACATCGCTTGATGCCCGTGTCTTACGACGTACGTGATGATATCTGATCCAACTATTGGTCGTCCCCTCATGCAGAAGAGCATCTGCCACGCTAGCGATGCAGCAACCCTGGCTTTGATCCTCCACGCTCGCAACACTATCCCCAGTCCCATCCCACCACTACCCACCTTTGTTCAGACTCGACACGGCTGACCTAGGCGAGCTGAGTGGACTTCGTAATTGCGAAATAGGAGACAGTGGCGCAGACCCAGTACTAGCCTTCGGACGACCAACACTGCCGGAAGCCGACGGTATCTTTGGTCCATTCAGCTGCCCCTCAGATGTTGGAGTACACGGTTCCTCAACTACCGGCACCGGCATGGGGGAGTAGCGGGGCACGTCTTGTGTTGTTGGTGAACGTTCCTGCCGTGGTTTCTGCTCGGACGGTCGATCGTTCCATCCGCCGAGTTTCGGTTCTTCGTCTCGGGCACTAGCAACGACCCGTTCCCTTTCGTTCCTCGGACAAGTGTCGTCGTTTAGCTTCGTATTGGTCTCTTTCGCTTCATCTCCCTCTTCTCGCGGCTCGTCCTGCCTTCGTCCCTGGTTCCTCGGGCTCGTCGTCCGCTGTCTCCACCGCTCGTACGTCCGAGACCGAGGTACGCTAGAGCCTATTACAATAATTGTCAGCATACACTCCGTGGAACAAACGAGACTTCAATCTACAAACGAGCAGCGGGATCAGGGTAGCATTACTCGGTGCGGGACGCGTCCTGTTCGTGTGCAAACCCCATGGCCTCGCTCTATACCCGCTCATCGGCGTGAAAGGGGCGTACCTGGCTTGATTGTCTAGTCCATCCGCCCCCGTTGTGTCGCGCATCCATTGCCGAGGATACGATCGAGGCGTATTCCACGCTCTCGTTGCTGAGTACGGATGCGGTGGGTACTCGAACGGCAACGTATCTGCGAAACCAGGCGTTGCTCGCGGTATTGACTCTCTTGGGACTTCTTGCGTGGCGCCGGACGGGTCGCTAGAGCATGACGACGACGATGACGACGATGGAGGCGCTGCTTTCTTAGGCGCTGCTTCTTTGAGCGCTTCCAGCACGATAGGCGGGTATTCATCGCAAATGTGGATGAAGTCGACTTTCTCATGCCGACGAGGGCGTTTAGCCGGGGATTTTGGCTTCACTGGAGGAGTTCTGTGATGGTTGGTCTTCGGCACATCCGTACTCATCGTCTCTGCGTAGGGCTGTCGATGTGGATACCGATCTCGAGGCTGGTACTGAGGCGGATACTGGATCGGCTCCGGCATCGTAGCGGTCGTCTGCTGGAACGGCTGTTGCGGCACTCCTGTCGGCATAGCAAAAGATGGCATCTGAGCCGCCACTTGGTTCTGCCATGACACTGGCATTCGTTGCGTTATACCCGGATGGTGGCACACAAAATCAACGCCGGGGCATTCATCTTGCCAGTCACCCGGAGGATAATATGACTGTCCGTACGGTTGCTGTTGTTGTGGCCCACCAATCTGCATCACTGGCCTAGCTCTCTCTCCATCTCTTTGTCCCGCCCAATTCCCATTGCTATTCCCATACCCCACTCTCTGACTCTCCACATCTCTCCCCTCATAACACTTCCTCGTCTGCGATCTCTCACTCCTTCCTCTCTCCCTCTCCCTCTTCGCAGACCTTGACCGGTGTTTTGACGGCTCTCGGTATCTCTCCAACTCCCGCTGCTCCACCTTCTCAACATAGATAACTGGCGGCTGTCGCGTTCTGTTCGGAAAGAAACAATGGAACCAATGCTCGAGTTCGTAGCAGCGCTGGTGGATGTAGCAGTGCACGTACCAGAGACCAAGGTAGACGAGTGCGGTGCCGAAGATACCGGCGAAAACGAGGGCGATTATGAGATGAGTCGTTGCCATGATTTGTCGCTACCTATCAGTAGCAGAGCTCAAGCCAGCCAACACCTTCTCAGCATGGGAAACAGCGCAGGTAAAGCAAAGCAAAGAAGAACGAAGACACGGCTTTGCATTTTACCCATCATCCCAAATACAGTCGTACAGAACTAACCTCTAGCATGTTTGTCGTAGACTCAACACGACTAACGACACAGCAAACAATTCAGCATGCTGTGCAACAACCCCAATTCTTGAACATACACATGCCAACGCAGTAGCCGCACCGATGAGGATTCCCTTGGCGATGTAAGCTCGTGTTTTCCCATAGTTCTTGTCCCGCAACGCTTGTAGAGGCGCCTGGCTGCAAATGAAGGATGGAGCCGTGGATGCTGGATGTTGGGTTGTGGTACATGCGAGAGGGACAAACTCGTGTGACGGGGGGAGGCGCTTGTGCGAGCGTGGTATGTTGTACAGAGGAGGTGAGGGAGGGGGTTGGGTAAGTGGTTTGTGGTATGGTGGGTTGGAAGTTGTTGAGTGGAGTGGTGTCTGTGTTTGTGGTTAGTATATTTCTCGATATCTCCGTAGTGGTTGTTGGCATACCTGTCTTCGATCAGATTTGATCTACCAATTCCCCTTGACGTCGTTGCCACCTCCCGCATCCCACGCTGCTCCGCCTCCGGTTGTGTCCCATCCTCCTCCTGCCGCTGGTGCTGCTGCTCCTCCACCTGCTCCAGTGTCGTCCCATGCGGGAGCTCCTCCATCTCCACCGCTATTGCTCTTCGCTGCTCCTCCGCTCTTCGCGCTGGCACTCTTGGCTTTACTTCCTCCAGTGTTACCATTTCCATTCCCATTCCCGTTTCCACCCTTACTTCCTCCACTTCCACTCTTGCTCTTCGCCTTACTCCCCCCGCCTCCACCCGCACTCTCCCCCGCCCTTATCTCTCCACCTCCACTCTTACTCTTGCTCTTCCCTCCCGCACTCTTACCACCGCCCCCTCCTCCTCTTATCTCCGCCTCAACATCCCTACTATACCCCAGTTCGTGAACCTCCAGATCGATAGCCCGCCGACAGCTCTTCATGAGGTAGTACCCGGAGAGACAGCAGAAGAAGGTGATGAGGACGAGGGTGAGGATAATGGCGTGGACGTAGTACATCGTGTGGAGGTGTATGAGTGCGTGAATGGTGTTGGTGTATGAGTGCATAGGTTGCTGAGTGAGTGAGTGGGTAAGTGAGTGGATGAGTGAGTGTGACGCCGTTGTGTAGTGTTCGTATGGAAAAATAGTAAGGGCGGCTGCGTACGATAGCACTGTCGAGGAAGAAAGCGCGGTGGTGAGATCGAGTGTCAGCGCGATCCAGTATCGCGTTGGTACCGGGGACCCGCGGGCGGGTTTGCAAAGCGCGAGACGTACTGCTTTTACTGTGCGGTGCAAGGCATGGCGCGTAGGTCAAAGTAGCGCGAGTATGCGTCTCTCGTGTGGAAGCGCAGTAATGGCGGTTAGTGTATAACTGCGATGTTGCGATATCGCGATTTAGAGAGAGAAATCCATCTTCACTTTCACTTTCACTTTGCTAAAAGAGATTAAAGCATATACAGTCATGTCCAACGCCGCATCTTGGAACATCCCTCCAGAAGAGGAAAGTGGATTAATAGTATGGATATTGTCTAATCATCATATATGTTATTACACGAGAGCATTGTATTCACTGCCCCGACATTCACTCCACAGCAGCAGTCCCCGCCTCAACAAGCTTAGGATTCGCTTTCTCGCCCCCACTCGGCGTAGCAAGAGTAATACTATCCTCTACACCCACATCCTTCTCCCCATCCAGAGCCTTTGCTTCTTCCTTCAACTGTTCCTGCACCGGCGTCTGCACCTTCGCAGCCGGCGTAGGTGTTGGCGGCGGCGGCTGCGCGACAACCTTCCTACTCGGACTACTCATCTCCCAAAACCGTCTCGGCACGTTCTTCGCCGGCGGCATACCCAGAAAGCCCTTTCCACCCATACTCTCCAGTGGTTTAGCTCTGCCTCCCACATAACATCCCAAATCGCCGCTCCAGACGAAACCGCCTCCGACTACACCTCGCAGTACGCCGAAAGCGCGGGCGTCGCGGTATGCGATACCCGTTTCCGGGTCGCGGTATCGGGCGATTGTATTGGTGATAGGACACAGCTTTTGGCCTGGTTTGAGGACAATCTCCGGCTCGGCTTTGGGCGCGGCGTTCTTTCGGGGTGGTTTCGGGGGCGCGATGAGTGTTTGTTGGATGTAGTTTGCTGCTTCGGCGGGGGTCCAGTTGAAGAGTGCGGTGTAGAGCTGGACTAAAGCTGACTTGTCCTTTTCCTTCAGGAGAGAGGCTGCTGTTCTGGCTCGCGAGGAGGATGTTGGTGGAGCTTCTAGGTTGGGGAAGTTGGAGAGGATGAGGAGGTTGCGCAGGGCTCGACGTATGACTTTGCGTCGCGGTGGCTGAGGGGGTAAGGCGGGTTTTTGGAATTGTGCGAGGAGGGCTTGGGGGCCGATTGCTGAGTCGCCGTTTTGCTGGGGTAGAGAGGGATGTAATTGGTTGAAAAGTGCTGTTTGTGCGTCTGAAGGTTGATGCTGTTGATTCTGAAAGGTAGAGGATTCCGTGAAGGGGAACGGAGGAAGTTCGTTACCATGCATAGGCTGGGATTGCTGATCTTGGGCGTACTGATCGATGCCATAAAGAAACGAGTCTTGGCTGGGTGGTGCGAACATTACAGTGCTTGGATGTTGCATGCCGAATGAGCCCATGAACACATCGCCGCCTTGAGATGCTGCTGCTGTCCAGGGTTGTTGTTGTGAGTTATCTTCTTGCGGGGGCATGGTTGCGGGTATTGATGATATGTGTGTTGAGCTACTGAACTGATCCAGAGACGGAAATGAAGGCTGTGAATTATCTGCATGGTTATCTGGAGCTTGTACCGGAAGCTGTGTAGGCTCTGACTGCGTTGACGTCTCTGCAGCCGCGACCTCCTTATTGAGCTTCTCTTCGAGATGCTCCAGACTCGGTGCGTCCTTGCCTGTGTACTTGAGCTTATCATCAACCCAGATGCCCGGCCCGCTGTAATATCGGTAGAATGGCCCGTCGATCTGTCGGTTCTTCAGGGCGTCAATCTTGGCCTGCCTCTCTGCTGCCCTGGCTTCTTCCGCCTCTTCCCATCTGTGTAGGGTTTTCTTGTTGATGCGCTCATTCCGAGCAGCCTCAGCAAGCCTCTCAGCCTGCGTCAAAGGCTTCTCCTTGGACTTCATCTTCCGCGCCTCTGCAGCCTTCATCATAGCCAGGGTGTCATCGCGCCTCCGGTCCTTCTCCTTCAGCTTGGCCAGCGTGGCATCCTTGTTTGCCACTGTCTGTTTGCGCATCGACATTCGGACCGGTCCATCCTCTTCGGTGGGTAGCCATGATGCCCTTTCGGACTTCTTCTTGGGTCGCGGAGGCGCAAGTGTGGGCGACTGTGTGCGGGGGACGTCGAGCCTGACCTTCTTGCGTGCTTGGGCGGCGACTCGTGCAGTGAAGGGATTCGTCGTGGCTTTGCGCTTCTTATTGCGTTCTTGTCGCTCGGCCTTGCGCAGCTCCTTCTCGCCCGCCTCGTCCTCGTCGGCATCGTCATCACCCTCTTCTGACGATGACGAATCCATGTTGTAGTCCTCCTGCTCATTGATATCGCCGCCTTGAAACTCCTCCTCGTTTGGCGCTTCCTCCCACTCCTCGCCCCATTCCTCCTCCTCGGCCGATTTGGCGAGCAGGATGGACATGCGATTGCCGGCATTGGATCGCTTGGCCCTGGATGTGACCATGAGCTCCGCAGGTGCTTCCTCTTCGCTCTCATCCTCGGATGCCTCCGACTCGTCGTCGCGATGTGAGGGCGGGGCATCCTCCATGGCTGCCTGGGGTGGCTCTTCGGACATGGTGGATTAGAAGTCCGGCGGCAGGCGCGAGGGCGGCGGGGAAGGTGCAGACGAGGGGACTGGAGCCTGAGGCAAAGCGAGTCGGACGGCAGCGATCAAGGTTTGGGCGAGGCTTTCCAGAAGGATTCCATGCGACAGCGACACGGATTATGCGCTCCAAGTGTGGGGTGAACGGTTGGCAGCATGGACTGCAGGGCGGCGGATTCGTCTGAAGTGCGGTATTATGCGGATTGTTTCAAGCGGCGTGATGGCAGCATGTCGTGAATTGCGCAGAGTGGGCGTGGAATCGAGAGCACGCGCCAGCATGACGCGACGGGCCATGGAAAGTCGCCAAGTCAGCAGCAAGGCTTGGCGCGGCCCGTCTGCATCTGAAACTTAGTGCGCCTATGATAGAATCAGATAGATAAACGTCGTTCCAAGGTACCGCACCATCGGCTGTCAACGCCTCACTAAAGCTCTTTGGGTCTGCGTGGCCTGTCAGCCTGTCTACTTCAGGACGTGCAGCACAAGGCATATCCGCGGTGGTCTGACATATATGTTTTCCAGAAGGGTTGTTTCGACTGTGTGGATGCTGCGTCGATGCATTGCAGGGTCGTAGTCTGTAGTCTTGATTGCGTGCCACATTGTATGCTAGATGATAGCAGAGACTCAGTAATGGCGTACGCATCGGGCTCAGAAAGTCTAATAGGCCGTTGGTATGCATGCAGGACCCCAACGCACCTCCATCCATGTTTAGCAGCAGCAGGCCAATCACGTCGCATGGCCGGGCAGAGGCACACAGTGTCCACGTCAGATTCTGGAGTAACGGACTTTCTCGACGCGCCTCTGTGTTTCAGACGCTGGCGGGCATGCGCTGCTCTGTCCCGCGGCCACCCACTAAGGACACAATTGCAGGACGCAGCCCTGGAGCCACCCGGGCGCCCTTTGTGTGCCCCTGAATTGTACAAAAGCAAAGCACCGCAGCCGTGCCATCGCAACCTCACTCGCCGTTGCACTTAACAGCCCACCTACAACCGTAGCCGACCGCGCAGATCGTGCCGTAACCTGTAACGTGCTTGTTCTGGCAGCCCGCCCAATTGAGCTAGTTCCCTCGTGTTCCTGGTGGCTCCCCATTTCTATCAAGCGAACCTCACCATTCATTCCCTCGCAAGCATCGCTCCATCGCTCATCGCTCTCTTGCTCCCGCCCGCGACAACTAGCTGTATCCGCCTCCGCACGAGCTCGCATGCGTAATCGGCCCTCGTCCGCTTAATCCTATTACTTCTGTTCTCCAGGCACTCCGGTGATCTGTCTATTCCGCCCGCCTGCTGCTGTACAGTACCGTACCATAATCGACACCCGCCCAGTCTCCGTCACTCCTTCGCGGCCTCCCTCGCCGTCGAGCTGCACCACCGCCCCGGACTGGATCCAACCCGTGTCGTCGTCTTCACTGTACACCAGGCTGCGCTGTGCTGAGCCCGGTCTTGCTGGCAATAATCCCTCGCCTCACATTCCTTTGGCCGGCACCAACCCTCCTTCGAACCCTTACCCTGGCTTTGGTAACCGAGTCACGACGACTATTCTTCCCTATTAGACTACCACGGTCACCGCAGGGTCTGTAATCCATAATGGCTCCCACCACCAACCGCCCCGAACACCACATCAACCTCAACTACATCCCCCAGCTGCCCCAGCCGCCGCACTCGGGCTCTTCGACGGGCAACACCTCGCCCGTTGAGCCTCCCAACAGCGGCTCTCTGCGCTTCGCTGGCAATGCCCCGAACCCGCTCGGTAACGCGAGGCTCGGGAACGGGTCCCCGTCGCATGAGTATGGCGGCCGCCTATTTTCCAAACGGTATGTCGCACCCTGAAACAAGTTCCGACTCGTGCTAACACCCTGACAGTGCACGCGAGATTCAGGCACAGGAGGGCTTAACTCCGCAAATGTGGGGACCTCCTACCAGCGGTAATTCCACGCCGCTGCGCGAGACCATCCCCGAGTCCCCCAACAGCGAGAACTTGAGCTTCCCCGACTTCAACAACGCCGTGCCAGACACCATGTCAGCTGCACCCGCTCCCAACCGCCGCGCCCGCGCTGGCACACTGCCCTCCCGCTTCTCCCCCTCCGCTGCCCCTCCCGGCCTCATGTCCGGCTCCTCGCTGCTTCCCAAGAGCTCCCGACCAACGCCCTCGACGAGCCCCTTCAAGCCAGGGCCAGGCACACCGACCGACAACTCGAGCTTCAACGCGCTTGGGTCTACAAACGCTGCGGCCAAGTCTGCACTGCTCTCACGTCTGCGTGCTGGCTCAATGCCTCAGCGACCGGGTGGCTACCTCCCTCCTTCCAACTCGCCGTTCGGCAACTCTATCTTCGCGGGCGGCTGGTCAAACCAGCGTGACCGTAGCAGCACACTCCAGAGCATTGCCTCCGTGCCGTCAAACGGACAAGGTTCGCCAAGATCTTCCTTCTCCCGCGACTCGCTTGCCGACACCGATGTCAAGACCCTTGACTACCTTGGTCTAGTCGACACCCCGCAGCCTGCGCGAGCTACCTTGGCTCCGTCAGACATCGAGCTCCTCCTCGAGAGCCAGAGGAACGCCAACAACCAGAACTCTGGCGGTGCAAACCGCTTCCGTTCCTACTCTGTCAATGCCAAGGAGAAGTACGCCGAAGAGGAGGAGGATCAATATGGCGCATACAGCGGCACCATCACTCCTGCCGAAGCCAATGCCCTTCTCATTCACGAAGCTGTTCGTCAACACAACCTCGAAGTCCAGGCCTTTGCGAACCTCGCCTCCAACGCGCGTCCACGTGCTCGCACCGCCGGCGTGCTAGATGCTCCTTCGCGGGGCATGATGCGGCCCTACTTGCCCGCTATGGGCCGATTTGACAACGGCATGGGAACTGGTGACTTGACTGAGGATGCAGAGTACAATCTCACTGAGGCTGTCAAGAAGCTCCACTTGCCTGGCTCAAACCTCGGCGACGATGGCACTCTGGAAGGACCCACTCGCTCGCTGTGGCTTGGCAACATTCCATCTTCGACCACCGTTTCGTCGCTCCAGGTCATCTTCGCTCAGTACGGTGGAATTGAGTCCACCCGCGTCCTCACACACAAGAACTGCGGTTTCGTCAACTACGAGAATCTTGAGAGTGCCGTCCAGGCAAAGTCAACTTTGAACGGAAAGGAGATCTTCCCTGGTGCCGGCCCCGTCCGCATCGGTTACGCTAAGATTCCAAGCGCAGCGGCCACCCCCGGCCACAATGGTCTGTTCCCTTCACCAAGCCCTGACCCACTGTCAAAGGCTCAGGCTGAGGGCACAGCTGGCTCTGCCGCCGCTACCAAGGTTGCTAACATCCCTGCGAATGTGCCTTTGACCACCCCAGAGCTCAGCGACATCCGCAGCGACATCATCCAGATTGTGAAGGAGTTGGGCGCCACGGATGACGAGCAGACAAGGATCACCACCAAGGTTGAGAAGGCTGTCCAGTTCAATAACTACGTCGACGAGATCCCGTCTGTCGAAGAGCCGAGCCACACTCGCATTCACGACGCTCCTAGACTGCGAGAGATCCGCAAGCGCATCGACAACGGATCCTGCTCCAAGGAGGACATTGAGAACATCGCCATGGCCATGCTCCCAGAAATCGCTGAGCTGTCTTCTGACTATCTTGGAAACACTGTCGTGCAGAAGCTGTTCGAGTTCTGCGAGGAGCCTACCAAGGAAGCCATGCTTCGCGAGATTGCACCCCACCTAGCCAAGATTGGTGTGCACAAGAACGGAACATGGGCTGCACAGAAGATCATCGATGTGTCCAAGTCCGAGACTATGCAGAAGATGGTCGTGGACGCTGTTCAACCTTATGCTATGGCTCTCTTCCTCGATCAGTTCGGCAACTACGTCATGCAAGGCTGCCTCAAGTACCAGAAGTTCAATGACTTCATCTTTGAGGTCATGCTGGGCAGACTCTGGGATCTCGCCCAAGGTCGATTCGGTGCCCGTGCCATGCGAGCTTGCTTGGAGAGCCACTATGCCACCAAGGACCAGCAGCGCATGGTAGCTGCTGCAATCGCTCTTCACAGCGTGCAGCTAGCAACCAACGCGAACGGTGCCTTGCTCCTGACTTGGTTCCTCGATACCTGCACCTTCCCAAGGAGGCGTACGGTCTTGGCTCCCCGCCTAGTCCCGCACATTGTTCACCTCTGCACACACAAGGTTGCATACCTCACCGTCCTGAAGATCATCAACCAGCGCAACGAGCCAGAAGCTCGTGACACCATCCTACAGGCACTGTTCTTCTCTCCCAACGACCAAGTATTGGAAAGCATCTTGGCCGACCAGAACTGCGGTGCCACCTTGATCTTCAAGGTACTCACCACTCCATTCTTCGATGAGCAGATCCGTGCGGATGTAGTAACAAACGTTCGCAACGTTCTTCTTCGCATCAAGGCGCAACCCCAACAGGGCTACAAGCGACTCATGGATGAGGTAGGTCTTTCCACTCGTGGCGGACCTGGTCATCGTGAGCACTCCGCAACCCGCCCCGCGTCGAAGGACAGCATCGCATCTGGACCGCCAAACCCTGGGCAGTTTTATCAGGGAGCGGCAGCTGGCTTCGACCCTGTCGCACTCCAACGCACAGCAAGCATGGACTCCAACGGTTTCGAGCAATACCCAATGGGTGGTGGACCCATGTACATGCCAAACATGCAGGCCATGAACAGCCAGCAGCAGATGCAGTACCAGCAGCTCCTGGCCCGACAGGGTCAGTTCTACCCTCAGATGAACGGCTTCCAAGGCCCCGTTCCGGGCATGGATGCCTACCGCAACGCGTCGCCTGTTGCAGGCCCCGGCAGCTTCAACGGTTCACCGATGATGCAGCCCGCCAACCTCGCCGGTCAGGGCATGCCCGGCATGTACCCTCCATACGGCATGTACATGCCACCTCAGCACCAGCAGGCGGCTGGAGGCAACCAGCGACGTGGCAGAGTAAGCAGAAATGCGTCCCCTGCTAACAGCGTTCGCCGTTAACGTCTCTTCAGAGATAAAAATCGCCTCGCCTGAGGGTTTAGATTCTCATCTCCTCTTAGAATTTACTGTGTTGCCAGGAAAAGCAGCACTATCTTCCTGTATATGATTCGGATCTTCACCTACAACGCATCTGCTAGCGAGCATTTTTTTGCAAAGCGGCATAACACCATACTTGCCATGTCTTCTCCTTTGCTGTCTTCGGACTCTTACGATTTTCATATCCTTTCTTCGCTCAATCGGCACATGGGCTATCTGTCGGCCGACGGTCCGTCTTGTCTCGTCACTCGCTCATAGCCATCTCGCTGGTGTTTCGGGGCGTACTTTGAGCAATGTTCTTCAATGTAGTCGCGAGTCGAGGGGCTGAGCTTACCTTGGCTCTGTCGATCGGATCGGATGATCGCTGTATCGATATGAAATGCGCATATGAAGAGTTTGGTTGGAATGATATATGCGATCTGGTGACCACGCAAAAGTACCGCTATATGGCATGATATAGGATTTTTGGGATGTTGGACGTTGGAACGTTTAGGTTCTCTTCCCCTACGCTGCGAGGGGAGAATGGGGGATCGAGCTCGAGCTTGCGAGCTAGATAGAATCAAGGTTCTTGCTATTTTACCTTTATGTTCACAGTTCTGCCCGTCCTCCTTGTTATAAAGGTGGTACAGCGTCGAAGCTTTGTCCGCTATGACACTCCTGGTAGCAGTCAGAGCTCAACTACAACAGTCATACTCCACCGCCTTTCCAATACCCACTCCACTCTTAGGGTTTGACATTACTATCTCTTCACAGCCTACTTTTTCAAATCGCAATATCTAGGCCCACAAAAGCTACGCTCCACGCTCTCATTGTCAAACCCACGATGGACTCAGTCCCTACTTCCTCACAGGTTTCACCGGAAGCCGACGAGCGCAAGACACCTATCAACGACATAGTATATTATAGCAGTAGTCGATACAGTGCACAATACGGTTCCACGAATTGCGAGCTTCTTCGGCGCATCTTACATGTCATACCGGCCAGTTGGCGCTGTGAGTGCCATCCTCATGTGATCAGCATTGCAGAATACGAAGACCGGAAAACCAAAGACGGACGCGCCGTAAATCTCCTTGATCCTGGTATAAATCTTCAAGACGTGTATGGGTCTGAGGAGTTCAGGACGAAGCTAGGCTTGGGTGATTGGGACGCCAGTGGGAAAGATAAGTGGGTGACTACGGATTGTAAGTAAGGGAGTAGTTGTTTGTTGTTGCTAGTCAAGCTGATGGCTAGAGTAGTTTTGGAAGTTTGGAAGGAGAAGTTGAATGACTTCGCGAACGATATCATTGCCGGGAAGGTGGAACTGAAGAGCGAATTTGATATAGTGCCGGAAGAAGATCATAGTTTTATAGGCCCTCGAAGTTACGGTACCCGCATGATCTCAGAGGATGGTAAGTCTACTACACGATGTTAGTCGGATCTGGGATGGTACTAATAACAAGTCAGTCAAAGACGCTTACGAGAACGCCCCGAAGGAGTCTCGCAAGCGTGATCAACGGAGAAGAAAGGCAAAGAAGAAGATACGTTTCTTGAACAGCATAGTGCCGTTCAATGAATCGGACTAGAGCCTGGAAACGAGAGAGATAGAGGCCCTTTTTACTTTACAGCCTTACAATCATGTTTACAATTTTAACAGTCAAGTTGAGTCCATCATAACATTCTGACTCTTACCTGCGCACGTACGGATTCCGCAGTTGATATGTGATTGGGCCGTGACTGGTACACTGCACACTCGTACGTGGTGTAGTCCTCGTAGCAGTCATTGCGCAGGTATTTATGATCCTAAGTATCTGCTCTCGCAACTTCTCACATCCTTCACAATACCAAAACTTCGGTCAGATATTGTCATGAAGTTCAAAATATCCTCCAGCCACTTTTTCACCCGCTCAAAAGGCTCCGCGCCGACCGAGCCGATCGACCCAGAGCTCTGGGTGATAATTTATCCCGAGAAGCTTCCCAAAGAAGGCAACGTGCCTGATGAGAAGAAGATCAACGCCCTCACGAACCTACCATCCCTCAAAACATGGGTCCTCGAAGATCTGAAGCGCGCGGACGTCCCAGGATGGGAGGTTATAAATGCCGGCAGGATCACATACAAGGAGGCTGAGGCAAGGTACAGGATCGATGATGGAGATCCTGTGGAAATTCCAAAGGGCCGAGAATGGGACTCAGACGGGAATGGACGATGGGCTACGTATGGAGGTACGTCGACGTACGCAGAGTCGCGTAAGAACTTGTAAACTAATGCACTATCTAGTTCTGGAAAGACTTAGAAGTTGTATATCTTATAGGACATGCTATGGTACCATGACAAAGAAGTCCGCCACCAGACAAATTTGGGGCTACACCAATGAGTTCCACATGTTCGACACATTCGGTAAGATATTGACGTCATCGCCCTATTATTTTGTGGCTCACGGATACATTATCGCTCGAAACGAAAAGGATATCAAAGAAGCTAAAGAAAAGAATGGAGGAGCTGTGCCTATCGACGAAGATCTTGCGCACAGGAATACTGGGGACAATGGATGGATCACGAAAGGCTGTAAGTCGCTCCTTTAGGACAGAAAAGGTATGCTAGGATGGCGACGCTAAACGATTGTCTAGTGCAAGACAAGTACCTTGACTACCTTAAGTTTCTGGCTCAAGAGAAATCCCAAGAAGACAGGCGTAGACGAAAAGTGTCAGACGAAGCTAGAGCTATCGAGGGTTGTGGCGGATAGCATATGATGGGTACGAGAGTGGTGACTGGAGCTTCTGTTTCGAGCTTGTATTCCGGTTAATGAGCCTTTTTGTCTGGGGATTACAGACGTCTATACGATGGAACATAGTAATAAAGTTGGCGGCATTGATTGAGGTCTCACCAACTTGTTCATAATTACTCACTAAGATTCGACATTAAATACCTAGACGCAATGGCTGAAGAGGAAAGTGTTGAACGAAGCAGGAATAAACCAAGAGAAAGGCAAGTGAATTTGGGCTCGATGTCATTAACGATTCATCCTGCGAAAGTTCCCGTCACTCATTATTGACTCGCATGATGATACAGCGAATCCAGAGTCATTCGACTCACACAAAACTTCGTTGTATTCAAGAGTGACACATATCATCACCAAACCTTTACGCAACGCAACGCTTCACTGCACCACACAGCGTCTATCATGTCACCTTTATCTACAAAGATAAAGTCGCACGTCTACTCCATAACCTATCCAAAGACATCTTCCAAGGAAAGCAGCATCCCCAACGAGAACATAGGAGTCGGCATCACAAACCACATACCCTTCATAACACTCCTCGAGCAGCTCGTCAACTGCCCAGACTTTAGAGCATGGAAAGTTGCACATGTAGGCTTTCTCACAAGGGGTAAGGCTGAAAAGAGGAACAAACGCAAAGAAAAAGATGGAGATATCGTAGACATCGTTCGTGGGGAGTGGAAGTCCGATGGTTACGGTCGGTGGGCTACTGCTGGATGTATGTAAACCAGACACCCACATCATGTCATATGACTAATCGTGTTTAGTGATGGCAGAACTCAACAGCATCAAAATTTACAAGATTTACGAAATTACATATTACAGCAAACCCATACCCTGCGTGCCTACCGACAAGAGAACCGGCTACACAAGCAGCCACCGCGTTGCCAAGGGTATTGAATATATTTTGACGTTACCTGGGTCATCGTATTCAAGGTTCGGCAAATGCGAGGTAAATCTCGTTGCGAACGAGAAGAGACTCAAGAACTACCAAAAGAGTGATGGAGGATGTGGGCGCCTCTGGGCAGAAGACGAGAATGGGGTGCTTGTTCACGATGGATGGATTACAAATGGCTGTAAGTTTTCCTTGTGGTGATTTGAAGCGTGTCGTAGAAGTTATGCTAAACAACAGTCCAGTGTTTGCCGTATGTGGAGTAGCTGCCGCCTTGATCTGCAAGGAGATGGAGAAGAAGGCGGACGGTGTTGAGGGCACTTCAAAAGCAGTAGACGTATGACAATGGTCGCAGAGAGATCTCTGGTATCACCAAATGAATCGAATTAAGATGCGACAGAACATCAGAACGAAGCCTGTGCTATCAGAGAAAGGCATTGAAAATACCTAGACACCTGAATGAGGATATACTGTTTGTTTATCAGTCTTCACGCCTCGCTCCACATGCAAACGTGGTGCGATTATCATGACCACCAACGCTTCGTCGTTCTTATGAGTTATGTTGCCCACTCTGATGAGATCAGTGCATAGTAGCATTCATTCTGGAATCGTACGTGCGGGCGAGATAGCGAAGCCACGAGCTCTGAGTGACAACAAGTGTAGCATGAGTACTCGTTTAGGAAGTAGTCATGTATTCACGAGAAACAGTCAGATGTTGAGTCATTTGCTCTATGTCACACAATGACACTGTGCGAGACTATAAAGTGAGGCACTTTGCAGCCTGGTCAATCACTGTTTCCCATTTCACACCACGAAGTCATCTACTTCATTCTCTTTGGCTTACACATCTACCGCAACAGTCCTCTCATCCATGAACATGAGTATCGTCAACACAGTACTCTTTTCCAAGAAAGTTGATGGAAAATATGAGATTGGGCAGTCCCCAACTGGCTATACGAATAATTCGTGGATCATGCAAGACCTTCCGAGGATCCGGAAAAAGCTGAAAGGCGTTGAAATGTGGAATTACAGGCCTTGGCCCGATGCTGACCCTCCTCCGACTGAGAAACAAATCGAGTGGATGAAAGAACAAGATGGGAAAATTGCATACTGCAAAGTGAGAACGAAGGAAGAAATCGAGGCGGACAGAAAAGAAAGAATTGAGAACGGCGAAGAGCCGCGAAACTACGATGACGTTGGGCTAGAAGTCTGGGCGACAAGAGACCGTAAGTTATTCTAATAGTGTTTAGAATCCGTTGAAGATGCTGATAGCCGACATAGTAGATGCCGCCTTCCGAGACAGTCTGGCAAAAGTTCGCGCGATCGAAGCTGCAGAGAAAACTGCATCCGAAAAAGCCAAGCGAGACGGGATGGAGAAAGCCGAAGAGCTCGAGGACTGATTAGCTAGCTTACGATGGCGAATGACAGTACAAGAGCGCAAGAACTGTACTGACTGTGTATACATTCTCGGCATTGGACCTCAAATCGAGTGTACTAGTTACTCATTCGCTTTGTCGCACGGCCACGAGGTTGACTCTTTGTGTGACTATCGTGACTTTGCATGTAGTCATAGCAGCATGACTGCGAATGACTGTAACTACCACGTGTATGAGTATCTTCCTCTTTTCGATCAACACTGCAAATCCACATTCATACTTTTGCCACTATAACCACGTCAACCTTCTCCACCTTATCACACTCACCGCGTTCCTCGAAATCTCTCAAACAAGCTCAACAACTTTCCCCATACAATGACGGAGGTATACGAGATCGAGCATCCCGGCAGCACCGCTCATACCACTTCCCGAGATGTTTATCTAACCATCGAAGACTCTAAAGTCGACGGTTGGAAAGCGAGGCCAGTGCCCGCAAACCGAGTGCTCGACGACGAGTGGATCAAGCCGATTATTGGATATTACAAAAAGATAATAGAGATAGGCAAGAATGGCAAGAACGAGCTTGTTTTAGGACAGGATAACATTGTGTACGGGAAAGATGGTGAGTGGGTCACTATGCCCTGTATGTATTTCCAACGAGAACAAGGATGCACATGGGTTGCTGACGGAAAGGGTAGTGTACAAAGCTTTGGTACAGGCCAAAAAAGACAAAACTCCGTTGCAGCATGTTCTGGATGTGTTTATGGGAAACTGACAGGTTGGGGAAGAGGCGCGTTGGAATTCATAAAGAGAGGGTGTGTTCTTGGGAAGAGAATGAGGAGAGAGGAGGCTCATTGCAAATCATTGTGGAGAAGGAGACCGAAGGGTACTGATGTCAGCTATTCGTTCAGATAGTTTAAAGCTCTCCATCTGTCTCTGAATCATAAGCACATGCTACAGATACTACACGCAAGACAGATGTGAGAGTTAGACAGTAGAAAAGTACCGTACTGGGAACAACAAAACTTCAATTTTGGCCGCCCCATATAAACTGAGCGTGGGTATCATATAGTGTGTAAACGCGCCGTAACTCCCTGACGAATACAGTTACATCTTAAACATCTTAAACATGGCAAAACATTGCTGATAGCACGCCCTCGAGGTCCTCATCGCGTCGAAACCCAAACGCTCAGTGACCGTTGAGACCGTCGCTGAATTTCCGCTTTTTGGCCTCGCGTTCACCGTCCTGGGGCGGGCGGTATTGGTCCAGCTTGCCCTGTAGCCGGTACGTTTCCCGCTTGATATTTTCGGCATTAGCCAAAAGGTCCATCTCGGTGACCGGAGCTTCAATACTAGCCAGCACGCTCCTAACAGTGCTGATATGATTGGCATCCTTCTTGTCATCGCGCCAGCGCGGCGTGCCGTCCGCCTCAGCCTTGTATTTCCACTGTCCACCTTCTGTGCGGTAACATTCTATGATACGGCCGTCGAGGCGTTGGTTCAGGGATTTGAGCGTCTCCCATTCGGCGGGGGTGACGGAGAGGGTGGCGAAGACTTCGTAGTGGTTCGCGTTGTGCTGCACGAGCAGTTGGAGGGGGGTGGGCATGGCGTCGTAGTCGGGGATGAGGCCGTCTTCGCCGTCTTGTGGGTCTATGAGCGGAAAGTCGCCGAGGCGGAGCTTGAAGTCGATGGTGTTCTCGTGTGGTGGCTTCCACTTGAGGATGTGTCTGTCGGTACCGAACTGGTAGGGTGTGGATACGCAGGTGAAGATCAGGCCGTCGTTGCCGTGTCGGAGGTTGGGGAGGATGCTGCTGAACATGTCCTCGAGCTTGTATGCAGGGTAGGTCTTCTTTCCTTTGAGTGCAAACGGCTTCAGGTCGTCTGGTGTAATGTTCTTGCCAAATGTCCTAGTCAAGCCGGCTTCGTACGGCTTGATGACCCATTCATGCAGCCGGCCCAACCGCTTGTCCAGTGTCCTTTGCGTCACATTTGTGTTATCCACCGCCAAGCAATCGAAGACATAGAAGTTGAGACGTGGCGCAGGCTCGTTTGGATATTGGTCATGGACCAACTCGCCGTCCAGGAGAGTTCCGAATAAGAATGGCTCGGCTTCGTTCAGGTGCTGGTAGTGACGTATGCGAAATGGAGGCTGGACGTTGTAGTAGTTGTTCTTCCTGTCGATCAGGAAAGTCACAGGCTCGAAAGCTCCTGTCGGTCCCTCTTGCCAGTGCAAGTAGAGCAGGCAGCGCAAGCCGTCCGTCTTCTCGCACATGTAGTATTCATTGCGCTGGAGCTCGGCGACGTGTTCGCGCGAGAACGATACGGGTTGCGCGCCGGGAAATCGCGGGTTATCGCGTTCGAGGAGTTCGGCGACAGATTGTTTGAGTGAATGCGCCTCGTCATTCGGGATCTGGAAGCCTGGAATCTGCGGCGGCGCATGCGATGGTAGCGCGGCGGCCGGCATATTAGGAAGATACTGGAGGTAGTCGCGGCGCTGTAAGAGATAGGGCTTCGAGCGCGATATAATTCGTATGCGGAAGCGATTGGAGGAGGGTTGGCTTTTGTTAGCGGTCGCAACAGTGGTTGTACAAGCAATAGATCGCCCGGGCGAGCTTACGCGCTAGTGAAGGGTCTGCTTATGTAATCACCAGCTGCGCTGCGTGGTGACGGCTGTAGCATGACGGGTCATGCTCCCGAGGTCCTGACCCCAACCACCGTTTAGACGAATGTTTAGTGTCGCATCAGATTCGTCGAAATTCATCCTGCTAGCGTACCGACTGCCCGATGTACTCTATCGCAACCATGGTACTACGACCGCGCACAACGCCGCGCTTATCAGCCATTTCCAAGCAAATAATACCAACATAAGAAACTGAAAACTCAGAGACATACATTCCTTTGCTCTTGCCAAGACTTCTTTCCCTCTTCAACAAAATCATCACCACAATTCTCACATCCAGTTACTACCAGACCCCATACTCACGATGAGCGACTTACCCACGGAGATATGGGCCATGGTCTTCGCATATTCCGAAGATCCTGAACACCTCTGGCTTGCTTGCCGTCATGTCTCCAGCAATCTGAAGGCTGCCGTCGAAATATACACCAGCACTGTCTTCCTTCCAAACTTCCTCACGGTATCCCTCGAATATCAGAGAAAAAACAAATCGACCATATCCTGCAGTCGCGGTACTTTCAAAGGATACTCCCCAGACAAAACCCTTGTTTACTTCGATATGAGCCGTACCGACCGGCCATTCATTCAGTACGTTGACACGCAGCGAATGTGTCTCTACGTCGACAAACTACAAAGGGGATGGACAAACAAGGGGTTTGAAGTGCTGGCGAAATTGAAAGGGCCAGATCACGACCGTGCGATCTTTGTCAGACTTTTGGATGGCGTCACTGCTAGCCCTGCGGATAGTAACGTGGGGGTTCTCACCTTTGGGCTCGACTTGGAGGATAAGATCCTGTCCTTTGACTGGCGAGAGGTCATGACCAAGAGCTTCATGGATAGTACTGATTGCGGGGGATATCTTATCGACCACCTGACGTGGCGCGGTCGTGATAACAGGTTTCCCTGGTGGTGTTAGTGGTGGTTTTGGACTGCTCTATCGGAAATGAAGTTGGGAATGTTTGTGGGATGAAAAGGAAGAAACAGCTCTGATGTGTTGCTAAGGATAGGCTCTATCGCGATTGCACATATCAAATGGAGAGTGTTTGAGGGCTGTATAAGAGGTTTTGTTGGCACTGAACTCTAATCAAAGGGTATGTAGTCTAATGGCCAAGACGCCCACTCTTTCGAGGGTGTCGTCGGGCTAATGAGCTCGACGATTCATGGAGATGCGGGTTCGAGTCTCGCTGTATCCAATCACCTTTTGCTTTTTGTATCGTTCTTTGGCTGGTCTATTGGAGATGGACTTAGAGATGTCTGGCGAGGGACAACAAAGAACCGCCATGACGAATGCGACAAAGAAGCACCACGAGGACTGTACATCGCGATTAAGGACATCTTCGCGGTATTTAAGAGGTATTATCCGTGTTAAATTTCAGTCAAAGGGTACATGGTCTAATGGCAAAGGCGCCCACTCTTACGAAAGTGAGAGTGACGCTGGACTAGACGGTAACGTCTAGCACAGCGGAAGGAGATGCGGGTTCGAGTCTCGCTGTATCCAATTGCATTTTGCTGCTTGTATTGTTTTTGTCTTCATAGTTGTCATCTCGTTCTGGATTTGTGCTTCTTGGTCGACACATAGTCCTAGCTAGTCTGAGGACTAGAGACTGCTGTACTTTAGCTATCTCGTCAAACAAAACAAAGGATCAACCAAACTACTTCAAGTTCCCGCAGCTATGTGTGCTGGGGTAGGCTAATGTTTTGTTAAGAGGTAGACGTTGGTGGACGCGAGCATACCGAGCTCGCTTTTCACTAGAAGGCAAGGCCTTATATTGGGAAAAAGCGCCTCAGCATCCAAGCTTTCACTTGATTCAACGCCACTTCCTCGTACTATGGAAGGTCTGCGCTTTTTCTCGAAAGGGGAGATTGCGTGTTCTAGTATAAGCTTTCAAGTTTTCGAGGAGCAACCCATGCATAACCCCACCGAAACCGCCATGATGTTGCCAACCCTTTCTCTCTTTCTAGCATTCGTCACCGCTTGTCCGCCGCCTCTTAACAGCTTCAAATATGTAGCCAACGATACCCACACAACATCACAGATGATCTCTAGCCTACTCGTATCTAGAGACGAGTCTTCACTAGATCGCAGATGGACTGAGATCGTAACTATGGTATGCTCATCTCTACGCTCCAACGCATGACGTCCAACTGACCGTTCAGCTAGACCGGACAACCTCGTACAGTGTGGCCCGACGGACTGGTCCGATACTGTTTCGAAGACGAGAGCGCCCGCAATAACTTCAAGGACGATATCGACGCAGCCTGGAAACTTTGGGTGGACAAGATCGGTGAACCCGGTTGCCCAAGCGGTCACATACTTCAGTTCAGGGAGTACAGAGTCAAGGAAGGC